GTTGTTTCGTGTTCAAACCTGTATATAGCTGATGAGTATGCATTCTTGTACAATATAACCTATAATGCAAATACTGTTCTGAAGTGGAATTGAACCAGTAACTTGCGAATGGTAACCTGGAAATACATCCATTGCGCTATTGATCCACAGGTCTTTATTTATATAATAGAATTTAGGATAAATTTGTTATTTTTGTATATTTTTATATTAAGACTGTCTTGTTTTTAAAAAGCTTTGATATTTTTCTAAACCTTGAAATAATTGAAGCAACTTGATTTATTAAGTAAACTTAGTTACTTTTGAAGTTTTTTGTTGTGTTGAGAAAAATATTAATCTATACAATTATAATTGTAAGCTATATAAAGTTGATATTAGTTTACTTATTCTAATTATAAATTAGTTTTCAATTGTCTTTTATTTTTTCCAAAAATTTACAAAAAAGAAATTAATTATATCTTTATTTTTGATATTTTTAGATAGTTTTATTATATATTTTATTGTATTAGTTTAAATAATATATTGTTTTTTAAACCTGTGGATCTATAGCACAGTAATAGTGTTTTTAGGTTACAATTACAAGATTCAAAGTTCAATATAATACGAGGGCCATGTGAAAAAAATAACCAAGTTGCACAAGGATGAAACTTCTAGCCTCCCTGTTAATTATCAGGCTGAAAAAAGATTTATTATGAAGATTGCATAAAAAAAGGTCTCTGGACTAATTATACGAATTACGCTTGACCTAGCCCTCTTAAATTGGATAGGAATCAAACCTCAAGATCCTGTTTTTAGGATTGCAGTAACCATCCAAACATATCACTAATCCTAAACTGTACCAGCAGATTCTGGAACCTCGCTTTTAGAATTGCAGTGACCATTTGAACATTTTTACCTCAAACTATACCAGCAGACTCTAAAATATAACCATTCTAACTTGAAATATCTCAATCTGATACTTGCTTAAATGAAGAACCTATCAAGTAGAACTTGTCTATAATGTTGCAGGTGATGACAAAGAGAATAGAAATCTCCTCTGAGATTCAAGTAAAAGTATTAGGTATTTGAGTGATTAAAATAACTCTTGAGAATTTGTTATCAGTGTGTAAGTTAGTAAAGCAGTATAGTCTATTATTAACAGAATTAGTTAACTATATCAATATTATCATCAATGACTATTATTAACCATCTGATCCCTAAACAGGTATACCCTTTTACTTGAAAGGTTTCAAATAGGTTTGTATAGGACAAGTTATTATAGATTATTATTAATCTGCATATATATGTACATGATGATTAATGTTATACTTAAGATTTAATTATCAATAAAGAGTTCATATATAATATCAGTTATAGTTTAAAAAAAAAAAAAGAATATCTTGTTTTTTTTTATATGTTTAAATTGATTAACCTTTTTCAAGAAAATTATTATAAAAGAAAAATTTTTTAAAAAAGAAAATCAATCAAAAGTATTTTTAAAAAAAGTATGTCTATTATTTTTATTAAATTATTATTATTATTTATAATATATAAATATATATTTTTATTTTAATATAAATTTTTTTAGTGATAAAAAAAAACTTTTTTCTTTAATCTATTTTTTTCTTAAAAATTTCTTTATAAGGAAAATTTTTCAAGGAAAAAAGTAAACAATAAAAGATAATAGTTTTAAAGATCAAATGCAATATAGTAAACTTATCTATAATGATAAGTTTTTTCTACAGTATTATGTTCAAATACTTTGAATATGTAGAATAGCTGAATCAAATAAAAGAGCTCTTTGTTAAATAAATAGGTAGGACTTCTTCTGTTTGCTTTAATAACTCTAAATAACAGGTCTTCTCTCCTTCACTTAATTTGGACTTCTCTAAAAAGAAGAAAAAACATTATTCAAAAAAAAGAAGATACTAAGGAGACAAGAAACAGAACAAACCAAAGAATAAACAACCTTTTTCTAAATTATCTCCATTTCACAAGGAATGTAAATATTCTAAGTATAATGAAGACTTTACTAGTTACATTTTACAAAAAAAAAATTTCAATAGATATTACAGATCAGATACTATAAAAGTTGATAAATATAACAAGTGAAGAAAAACATATAAGACAGTTCATTAAGAAACCAAGATCAGTTTTGTTGGAGTATTGGTTTGAAAGCCTTCTAGAAAAATATTCAAGACTAATTATAATGAGCTTGACAAATGGATAGTGCTTGAATTAATAAAGCAAGTAGAGGATAAACCTGTGAATATCAGATTTATTTATCTAAGAAAAGGAAAATTGGTATTCATAATTACATTTCTATTACTGATGGTTTTGGACTAACCATTCAAGGTTTCAAGACTTATTTAAAACTTATCTTCTTCACGCTTGAAGGGTTATTTAAAGATAAGTTTGATGAAACAATTAATGATCTTAATTTCTATCACAAATACAAATCCTTGTTAATAGATATACAATATAAAGAAGTTGACTTTATCGATAGAACTTTTAGAAATGGTTGAAAGGTAAGACTCCATCCATATTATTCCTATATTTAAGTTGATAATAGAGTAAACATTATATTAGTGGGATATCAAGTAATATCAGAAATTTTGGTAACCCTTCTATCAGAAAACTTTAGTAGGAGAAGAAATTCACTGATTATACTGAAATGTTTAAAATCTATTATATAGGTTAGAGTATAATAATGGTTTAATAATTAAATTATGCTTTAAAATTGTTCTAGAAAAAAGTAAAAGAGTATCAAATATCTTTTTTACAGTATAGTTTTATATTTAGAATTATATTATTTGTATCTGCTTTTATATTTATTATATATTATGAATATTTGTAAAATTCTATCTTTATAAGTATAATAAAGTAAAGATAAAGATATTGGTAAAATTTTTTTAACTAGATATGGCTGCTAGAAAATATCAGAAGTTATTTAACAAGACTAAAAAGCCAAATAAGAATCTGAAATCCATTGTTAGTTATCTTCTTCTATATGGTTGGATACAAAATCAAAACTAAAAGAAAAAAAGTATTAAGCAAGACACTGGATTTGAGTAGATAATAAATACTTTAGATAATTATAAGAAAATAATCAAAGATAAGTTTCTCAGATGATCAAGAAGAAGAAGGATATCTCAGAAGGGTTAACTCTTAATAAGAAGAGTTTTAGCAAAAATCCTTTGGAGAGCATGAAATATTTTTATTTTTATTTATTTTTTCCTTTTCATATAGTACATTTGTATAGTTTTAGATATAACCTTTTTCTTTTATTTTTCTTTTTTCTTTTTGTAGTTTCTCAAATTCAGTTCCTTGATAGATAATAAGCAGTACCAATTTGCTAGCAATAATGGATAAATTAGAAGGATATTCATCCAAAATCTATCATAGAATGAAATATTGTTCTTAAGATTACACTTAGAGACTGAAGCTTTTTTCAAAATTGAAAGCTATTTATGAATGTATTAATACAAATTTTTAGTTAGCCATAATGCAATTGTTCTATATATTTCTATTGATTTTTATAATGATTAATAAATATACAGTACTAGTCTGACCACAGGTTTAAAAAAAAAATAAATAAAAAAATAAATATTTTTTATTGATTTATATTAAAATTACTTTTTTAAAATTTTTATTATTAAAACTTATATATTAACTATAAAATATAGTATATTATAATTACAATAAATTTTTTATTAATTTTATAATTTATATATAAAAAATATTTATAAAAAGTTTTATATATCTATATTAATAAAGTTTTTATACTTTTTTTAAAAACAATTTAATATATTTTCAAGAATTATTATTATATTTTTTTATTTATATAAAATTTTATTTTATTTAATCTAATTTTTAGTAACTAGTTTAAATTTAATAATATTTTTTTTATCTATAACAAAAAATTAATTATAATAATATTTTTTAACTAATTTTATAGAATTTAAATAACAATCTAAAAACTTATATCTTTTCTTTGAACTATATTTAAACTTTTTAAAATATTTATTAACTTAATAATTGTTTGTGAAATTTTATTTATTTCAACTTAATTTTGAATTTTTAATAATATATAATTACTTTAATTATAATTGAATAATATAAAATATATTAGTAAAAAAATATAAATAAGTTTTTATAAATAATATAAATATATTCTATTTATATTAAAGAATTATAAAAATAATTTTATAAAGATTATTATATACTTCAATTATTTTTAATATTTAAGTTATCTTACATAATTAAATTAAAATATTGTAAAATATAAAAATATTAAAAATAGAAATATAAAAGTTGCAATAGATCCACATTATTGAGTATTACTCTGGAATTAATGGATTTGTAAGGTAATAAATATCCGTTCATAAATGATAATTAAAAAATATAAATTGCATGCAATCAATAAATTATAATTAGAGCATCTATTTTAAGAAAGTTTACCATTTGTTTTATATCTTTATAAAACTTAAACGCTTTTTTTTTTATCTATCTTTTTGAATTTGTTCAACAGTCTTTTTATCTTGTAATCTTATATATTTCTTAATATAATGGTTTTTATTTTATTTTAAAATTTTGTATTGGGATTTCTCACAGTATATCATATAGCTCAAATGGATCTAGCATACATTAATGTTTGGCCCATTGCAGGTGATTAGACAAAGTGAATTGTTTCAGAAAACAATATTGATAAATTGGTTTTTTGTATTACGAATTGCAAAGTACTATTATTAACAAAATTAGTAAAATATTTACAAACTAATAGAAAATATGGAATATTCTGAGTTAAGTTAATTATAATAATTTTTTTATATTTTTATATTCTTTTAAAAATCAAATACTTCAATTCTGTAAAAACAAAACTGCAATTAAAAAAAACTAATGTGTCTAATATCTTATTATTACGTGTATACAGAATCGAAGAATTCATAAAATTTTATGCATTTGAAGTTTAATTCTATTTCATAGCCTTTTCTTTGAACATATTCATATGACGAGACAGTACATCATTGATTCTCTTTCTCAGGAACAATGATTTGTGTCGGCATTTTAAACCTGTTGCTATGATAAACGCTCTCGCCTACTTTCCAATCTGGTACGTCCTTCATTATTTCGGCCTCACGAGCTAACGCAGCCTGAGAACGGCGATATGTGTCACGATCTAATTCGGCTGTGAGTAAGGGTACTAAGTGTATGCGCGCCCAAACTTTTTCACGTTTAAGTTCTCTACATTATTCAGTTAAAGTTAACACGATAAAATAATAAAGAAACAACTCGAAGCAAAAGGAATTGATAAGTTTATATCAAAAAATTAAAAGCACCCCAATCAAGAACCGAACTTACCGTCTCTCTAAATTTGCTTGTCCTATGCGGTAAAATCCATATGCACTGATGGCAGCCACGACCGTAATTATGACTGCTCCGGAAGGTCCTTTACTTGGTATATTTCTTTTATACCGAATGGAAGGAAAACCTCCCGGCCTCGGAAGTTCTTGTGTTTGGGGAGCTGAAGTCATTTAACCATGTTATGAGTTGCTGCAGTTACGATATTTAGGATCTGATCTGTACCACATTGATTATCCAACTAATAAAAATTCAGAATGATTAATACCTTTAAAATCAACATGCCAGATGTCAGAATTTCAACAGAGTAACCAACAAGATTATTATCAAATCTTTCAATATGATTTCTCCCAACATATTGCTTTGCTTTGCTCCACGAAAAACTCTTTTAATCACACAGTTTACGAAAGTTTGCGACAAATCTGGAGTAAAATAGGACAAGAAAAAGAGACACCTTACATACCTAATGGTTCTGAGGGAAATTTTTTTAAAGTTGCAAGATGGTATTTATATACATTTTATTTTAACACAT